CTACTATTAAAATGTGTCTGGTTTTGTGAAACAGCTGTATGGGTTTACAAGGGACTTCTTAGGATGAGTTTTATGACTGCTAATCTGATCATTCTTTTCAGAGGATCCCCTTGCATTTCATTATACTCCTACTTAAAAGCTAAGCTTGCAAGAGAGAAAAGGCAGAAAAAAGCAAGATGAAGTACTCAGTGATGAACTTTTCTGCTAAAGAAGGTCAGCTTCTTGGATTTACATTTGGGCTATCATTTCCCCTGGCTCTGTTCCAGCACAATCACACGTGCAAGAATCCGCTATCACCACTGGTCCCGGAGGGCTCTGCGTGGCAAGGCGGCCGCCAGACAACTTGCAAGGCAGCAGATGTGACCCTGCATCCGAAGTTCCCGAGTGCAGCCCGTGGAAAGTCTTGCTGTGTCGGTAGGACCGGTCTTTTCCAGCTAAGGCCTGCATGTGATCGAAAAGCTGATGTTGGAATGTGTCAGGGAAGGAATTCCCATTCTCTGCCCCTCCATGCTATTTGCCCAGATTTGTGCAGCACTGGCCAGATCTAGACCCAGGGTCTTCCCCACACCTGCAAACACTGGCACTGAAACCTGGTGACAGCAGAAGTTTGCAGCCCAGCCTCCTTTCGGGGGTAGTTTTTTAGGATGTTGAGACCAATGAGATTCCCAACCCCCCCACCACCCTGAGAGCTTATTTTCCAGAGAGGACAGGACTGTTGATGTCAAGGGAAATTATTCCACCCAGGACTGTGCTCTGATCCATTGGGTATACACCATATTTAGCCTGTTGCTGAGTGGGGGTTGTTTCGGTATTTTGTATTTGGCACGTTGATGGGAATTCCTAGAGCATCCTAGCTTTCCCTTTTTGGGATGTCTCCATCCACAGGTCTTGCTGCACAAGGCTGTTGGCTACTAGTGGAGGCTGGGCCTGAAGGTTTCGGGGGTGTGAGGGAGGGTTGACGAGGAGCAGATCACTCCAGAGCCTCCCAGGTCTGGCTCCAAGCACCATGTCCTCCTTTCCCCCCTCCCAGCAGACAGTGCTGCCTCCTGCTCTTTCCATGGCATCCCAGGGACTGCTCCGCTTTAACTATCAGTTCTGCTCTTCCTTTTATGGACAGAGGGAGGTATTTCTTTAAAATGAAAAAGTATTTACAGTCCTTTCTCAGGAACTGAGCTGAGCACCACATCACGAAGGAAACTTCGGGGAATCTGAAAGGGAGCTGGGAAACAACCCTCTATTCCCAGGGGCAAGCAAGGCCCATGCAGCCCCAGGCTCTGTGTGTTGCATAAACTCAAGGAAGCCCAGCGCAACCTCCGCCCCTGCATCCCGGCATTAGGAATAACCCCCCTCTCCTCCACAGCCCCTGCACTCAGCTTAGCCCATGTAAATGCAGGGCCTCCCAAGCAGCTCAGGACCATAGTCTGGCTTTTGTCCTTCTCCTGGCCTGGGGCCATAATGGGTGAGGCTGCTGCCACAGCAGCAAGGGGTTAAAGGCCCATTTCCTTGGCTAAATCATTTCATTCTAGGAAAAAGCAAAACTTCTCAACTTGTGAGCTAGGGGCACCTCTTTGTTGCCTTCTTGTGACACACAAACATTTAAGAAAGTCCAAAAAGCACCTGCCTGCTCCCTCAGGAGCAGCCTAGGGAAGAGGGGGCAGCAGTTAGGCCCTCCTATGCACGGGCTCCTTGGCTAAGTCTATCTTGTTTAAGCCAGGTACGGCGAGGATTTTCCAGCAGGATGTGGTTTCCAGGGCCCCTCCCCACTGACAAGCTTCTCCTCCTCTATATAGGGAGGCTGCGAAGGCAGCGAGGACTTGGACTGTCCCGGCTCTTGGCTGCACAGGTTCCTGACTCTCCAATTCACTCTCTGCTTCCCTAATTGGACGCCCGTAAGTACCACGGGGCCCCAGGAGATGCCTGCTGGGGAAGGGGCTGGGAGCCAGCGCTCTGTAGGATGGGATAATTTGGCAAGCTAGATATTACACTGTTTTGCAAACACATTTTGTATATTACCTGAAAAAGAGTTTATCAATGAACAGGAGCAGTGATTGATTTACTTCAGAAGTGGCAGCAAACATACCAGACACATTGAGCTGACCTACCCTGATTTGCATGACATTAATTGAATTCTGTTTTAAATGCATCAGAGATGCTGTACCTTGCTAAGCGTGTACAGGTGACCCGGCATGAGGCCGGTGCAGGTGTCACACCTGGCTGCAGGGCAGGAGTGGGTCCCATGCCCAGGTCTGCGCTGCGCAGGGCGGCAGGGAACCGCAGCAAGGGACCCCCGGGTGCAGGACCTCTGCTTCAAATACTGCTGCATTTTCACTGCTACTAAGGGGAAGTAATACACTTCATATGCTGTTTAATGGGAACATAACCGAATAATTAGCTTGTCAGTCACATAGGAAAAATGCTTAAAAATTAAGAAAAAATTGCTTGCTATTAGATATACATACTTTAGTATGTGGGGAATAAGGTTTAAGGCAAAACTAGTTAGATAAGTCACTGAACTGCATTAATTTGAGTAATTTAAAAGTAAAAGACAAGCTTTTAAATTTTAAAGATAAAAGCAAGCAACTTCTAAATACTGTGATTAAATTCAGAAAACAGTAGATGGCAGTAGAGAAAGCAGCTTCAGGGTTATCCCAGAAGTTAACAGGTTTCTTTGGCAGAGACACATATATACCTATACATGCACGTATGTATGGGTTGGTATCCCATCCACCCACACACAGGAGTGCATGTGAGAGGTGTATGTGTGTGAATATAATGAATAAGCAATATGAGATATTTTAAATATAACAGAAATCATAAGATAGTGCATCATTAACATATTACCTAGTATCTCTCAATTAGAGATTAGTATTACCTCAATTAGTATTTCTCAATTAGATCTTCCTAAACCATGCTTGCTTAAGAACAAGCCAACCTTTTATTTTACTGAAAATTTCCCCCAAAGGGTCAGCTTTCAAAAAGATGCTGTGCATGGACCAACTTTCTGAACTCTTGGAAGTTCCAAGATCTTTTAAGCCACTAACAGAGGCTAAAATGATGAACCCCTGGAAAGCGAAGCGCTTGATTAAATAGTCACTTGAGCTTGGTGCATGATACTCTTTTCTGGCTGCGTTCGCTTAGATGTAAACAATGATTTTTATTATCTCATTTGCAATTGACACGCTAGTCCCTAAAAGGTATTTGTTTTGAATTTGTTATCATTACATTTTTGCGGAACAGCTAGTATTGAGAAGAACATCGCCATATATGGTAGCATGCATAGATGTATGCAGAGGATCCAGACTCTTTATAACTCGCTGAGGCTTATTAGTTGCAAATCTGTTGGCTTTTAAGTATGTTAATTTTAGAAGAAAAAAAAAAAGAGCAAGAGACAACTTTCCAACTTGTGCACAGTCCAGTTAAAATAGGGATTATTTATGGATTCTAATGAACTCACAGTATCTGCTTTACTTAATAGAATGGTATTTTGGAGTATTTGAAATATCTGCTGTCTCCCAGATAAAGGGAATTTATCCCAGATAATGGACTCCATTTTTTTCCCCTTCTTTTCTTTCTTACAATTTATAACATAGGTAATAACGTGGGCCAATTTCTACGGAGAATTAAAAGAACTACCACGTATTTAATCAGAGTTATGTAATAACTTGCATTAACAGAGGTTAGAAAACCTGATAGGAAGGCCAAGACATTTATAGATAATTCGATTGAATACATTAAGTATTCGTCAAAAAGACAGCTCCGTGAAGTTACTAAGAATGTTATCTTTTAAAACACTAACTTACCCTCTTTTGTTGAAAAATTTTAATAAACTAATATTCATGATACCTTCAGGTCTAGATAGAAACATCTGTGATGAGAGCAAGCCTTGAGGGGGATCCCAGGGACCATCTGGGAGAGGTAAAAGGCCAGCAAGGATCAACAGCAGTGCTCCTGATGGAGCCAGCTGTGCTAGGGAACAAGTTCCCAAGTGAAGGACACAGTATGAGCATTCATCCTTTTTTATTATTATTTTCTTCAAGTAATAGTCCGTTGGGTAATTCAGTTAAGTACTGCAAAAGTAACAGATATGCAACCTGGGAAGACCTTAGTGAAGAATTAATGCAGCCCAAGAAACGCAGTTCAAGTCAAATAGCACGTTACTGTTAGATCCTTCCATCAGAAACCACTTACCTGAGCAGGACTTCATTTCTGGAAATAATTCATAGACTTGGAGAAGTGTTCCCTCTGTTTTAATAGTTCTTCCCTGTACAGCTGCAATAAGCTTTCATAGTGACACACACATCCTGCAGAGGAAGGGAGAAGTGTCATTTATCTTCCCATTAGGGGAAAAGCAGTCCCTTTAAGCTATGACCCAGGAGGCAATTCTGCTTGGCCAACAACCTTTTAATTAAGCGCACTTCCTGGAGATATTTATACTGTATACTTGGAATAATATACTCAGGATAAACTGATTGTAAGGACAGCATTCAACTTCTGTCACTGACATGATATGGGAAAGAACAGTGAAGATCGGCAGGACTTATCTGCAGCAGGGCAGGAGAAGAGTGATAGAAAGAATCCTCCCTGGCAATGCAGGGACCATATATTCCCATGCCTACATGCTCATTTAGGGTTTAGATGAGAATAAAACAAGGTATGCAGATCTTGGTGAAATTCAGCACGTTTCTAAGGCAAGAAACTTCATGTCAGTTGTTTCACTATCACTGCTTCTCCTCCCTCTCCCTGGATAGCTCCATCTGAATGTAAAAAGCGATTTAATCTTCTACATGATTCTATCATCTTCTTAAGCAAATGGATGAAAACCTCTTACCATGACTTTGCATAGATACTAGTCTCCATTTCTCTTAGGCAGCACTGGATAAACCCAAGGAATGGCTAAGGGCTCACATATCTTCTCAAGAAAGGTTCTCAACAACAGTTTTGCACAGCATGTCACTAGGACAAGCCTAGTTGACTTCTTGCAGCCCACCCTCTATGCCTTCCATTTAGAAAATTTCCTCTAGCAACGAGGTTAATTTATCCAGACTTTATAATCCAGATGCAAACTGAATTCCTTCTGTTACGACTGTCTTACACAGCTGCTACTCAGACTTCATCTTCTAATTTCACAGGACCATTCAAAAAACTTTTTAGACAAATGATGGTTTTCCACTCATTGTCTATGTTTGAGATGAGTTTGTTGAGCCAATTCAGATTGCATATCTCCTTCTTTAGGGTACAATCTTAACGTGTTTAAACTAGTATTCACAGGATCATACGGTACATTCAACAGCAAAAGCACAGTGCTTAGATCTAGGGCAGAAAAACCTCCTGTCTCCAAGCTCTGCAGCTTGTCCAGTGTCCGTGCCGCAGGAGGAGAGGGGCAGCACCCGCTTCTCCCGGGACCACCGCCGGTGAGCGGAGCCACTCAGGGGCCGCAAGCTGGAAGGCCACAGGGCATCCACGATGCTGTGGTTCTGCAATGAGGTGTCGAGCAGCATCGAGGGCTTCCCCTGCTCCTTTTGTCACTCTCGCCACATGTTCTGCGTTCCCTATGGCAGGACAGGCAGTGGGGAAATGCCCCCAGTGCCCCCTGTGCTTCCCTCTCCTCCTGGGCCACACAGAGTCAGGCCGGATTCACCCCCCGGGCTCTAGCTGGAAAACACGGCCGGAGAGAATACCATCTCCATTATTGGAGCTGTGCAGCTCCACCAGCCCTCTTGGCAACACAGGAACATTTTCTGCCTTAATCCACACAGAGGTCAAATAGTTTCCTCTTGCAGCTCTCTTCCAAGATTCCCCCGGGAGCTAGTGAAGGACCGCATCCAGCAGAGCTCCCTCACGGAGACTCGCTGGACACGGCCACAGCGCAGGGAGCAGCAATCCACAGAAGCCACCGGTGCCCATCTCGCTCCCTGTCACCCACAGCCCGACGGACACGGTGTGCACACACATGTCCTGGGTGAATTCTCCTGCTGGGGCGTTCCAGACAAGCCTGATGGCTTCTAGAACGAAGACATTTAGAGGAAAGCTGGGGATGTTTAGATGACAAAATTGTCAAGGGAGTTTAAGGAGCTGGGACATCTAGTTTCCACTGAATTTCAATGGGATATCATCTAATGCCCTCAGGCACCTCTAAAATCCTAGTTTTGTTTATTTAAGCTTTCTGTTACCCTGTATACGATCCATGCTGCTCTCTCAGACCCCTCACATAGATTAGCTTTGCAACAAAACAAAACCATTAGTTTGTGGGATGACTTTTGGGAAAAAAAGACCTTTGGAAGAAAACAAGGTGTCTATTTGGCTAAGTCCCACACAGCCCAGTCTCCGTAAGTATCATTCTGCTTACAGGGTTTGATTGCTGACTTCTTTAGCAGTCAATTCTCTGAACTCCCTCAAGATTCATGCTTGTTCAAATGCTGTAAATACTAAATCTATTCTCAATAAGGAAACAGCCTTTGTCTCCCGGCGATGTTTTTGTCAGCCAGGCACTCTTCCCTGTGCTCCTCGACCAGCACCGCCCTTTCCCAGCTCTCATGGGGATCATTGTACACACTATCTAGCAGCTAGCATAATTTCCAGGCTTATTTTATTTATCCTTCCTTTCTCTTATGTGGTGCACATTTACCTTTCAAAGATGATAAACTCACAGTCTGAACCATGGAAAGAAGACAACACTAAATTAGTTCTCCGTTACCAGCATACTGATAATGTTTTTTCCAAGTCTTTTTTTCTTTCCTTAATCTTATTGATCTCCCCATGAAATGTCATTAGAGTAATTAGAAATAGTCCTCAACAAGCAAAGTTTGTTTCTATCCTTCCCGGAACACAGCCTGGGAACTGCTCTTCTACTAAATATTTCATTTTTCGGCTGGTATTTTTGTCTGCACCGAAAATTACTTGTATGATGGGAAATTGTGAGTGTATACGAGCCCAGTTAACTCTGTGATGAGCAAGAGATGAGGATGCAGGAAGCTGGTTGGCTGGTAGTCTTGGTCCTGACAGTCTAGATGCGCTGATACCAATTGTGCCTTACTCTTCTGCCTGACATGTAGTGCAACACCAGCAAGTATAGGTAATAAGCTCAGGACCTCTCACTTGTTTTACTGCCATGATGCTTCTGCTTTATGTCATTTCAGAAATGGTATAAAAGAAATGGGACAAACATTTCCACTGCTAAACTCTGCCTGCAGGGCTATTTGTCACCTCTCACCTGCACATTTTGCAGCTGGCCTTAAGTAAGAAGTCTTCAAGAGCCCCAGAGACATGACTTGCTCTGCCTTTACAGATGAGCACAGAGAAGGGCAGCCCTGGCATCTGCCCCTGACCTTATACGTCCCCAACAGTAACAGCCACGTTTGGAAACTACTGCAGATCTGACAAACATGTTTTGGCTAGAATTTCTCTACATTTTCCTCTCTTTAAACCAGAATATTTTTTCTTCTTCAACAGGTGACTACTGAGTCAAAATGACTCAAAAACCTCTCAGCGACGATGAGAAATTCCTCTTTGTGGACAAAAACTTCATTAACAACCCACTTGCTCAGGCTGACTGGTCAGCGAAGAGACTGGTTTGGGTTCCATCAGAGAAACATGGATTTGAAGCTGCAAGTATCAAGGAAGAGAAAGGGGATGAGGTGACAGTTGAACTGTCAGAAAATGGAAAGAAAGTGACACTGAGCAAGGATGACATCCAGAAGATGAACCCTCCCAAGTTCTCTAAAGTGGAGGACATGGCAGAGCTGACTTGTCTCAATGAAGCTTCAGTGCTGCACAATCTGCGGGAGAGATACTTCTCAGGTTTAATTTATGTAAGTAGAACTAACACTCACATGGCATTTCCTACTGCTTGCTACCATGTGCGGTTATTAGTGAGAGGCATCCCAGGCACAGCCAGAAACACAGTCCTGATATTGCCATGCAAGTCCTCATTCCTCAGCAATGGAATCCCAACCCGAAAAATTTAGTTCATCTTTTGAATTCTTTGGAATTCAAAGATTCTTTTGAATTTTTATACAACCGCTTCATTAAATGAAGTTAAACTTCCCCAAAACTTTAAAAAAAATGAAAGAATATTACTGGCTTTAGAAGTTCCCTCTGATAGCTACCCAAGAGCACAGTCCTGCTGCTTTTTAAAAAAGGGGTTTCCCAGTGATTTCCAGTGGAAACTTGAACAACTTTTCAGATCATGTACCACAAGTGCAACTTGTAAAAAGAACATATGGAAAAGCCAAATCATGCAGCCTTTTCTCGGGCCAAACTCCCACTGAAAGGCAGCTGACAGTTCTGTTTTGGTAGGTGCTTGAGTAAAACCTTATGTGAGAATAAATGAATAATCCCACTGAAATCGAAATGAGACTATTCATGAGTGTTACTGGACCAAACTCGCGCACCCACTAAATCATGCTTTGCTTTTCCTTTTTGGACAATTTACCCATTGGCAAGTCTGGGCAAATTGGAATCTCCTCTATATTCATATGAATTTGGATCAAAGTTTTTCTGTCTTCCAATTCACATAAGTGTATTAACGCATGCCTATTTTGATATTAGCAGCCCTGTAATCTACCTTCATTAGCAGTTATCAAATAGTAAGAAAGACCAGAAAAGTACCACAGAACTTAGCTACTATCTTTGATTTTACAAATACATTCCCTATGCTATGCTGTAGGGAACTAATCCACAATTTCAATCCATCAAAATTTTATTTCCATGACAGATCACTAATGAGTGAAATAAAGTGTAGAGCTTAAGTAACATGCTTTTAGAAGCAGACTTGAGCTCTCTTTATTAGTATGAGGAATGCTAAATTGGAAGTTAAGAAATGAAGCAGAAAATAAGATATGTTATATATAACATAGCATAGTTATATATTGTATTCCTTTAGTTATTATGCATAACTTAAAAGAGCTAAAGCTCAGGATCGTTCCTCCAGGAATGCATTAAAATTAACATCATTAAGATTCCTGGAAGAAAATAGATTTTTCAAGTTTTTCGTTCTCAGCAACACAGTGAACAGATATTCTTGTTTCCAACATATGTTTACTCTGTGGATTCTTGTGGGACTTTGATTTCTCTTCCTGCAGAAAGTTAGTTTCTAAAAGTAGATAATGCAATTATAAGATAAAGAATTTGTCCTAGAGCTAAAAAAAGGAGAAAAAATAAAAGAAAGAAAAAGGCAAGAGTATCTGAAAATCTGAAATTCAGCCTTCCTACTCAGAAGACTAGATTTTAAGATAGTCGTAATTATTATTACAATATTCTGTCTTGTATTACAATGAGCTATTACTATTTTCAGACATCTAAAAACTGCTTAACACTGCACAGCAATACACAGTGCCACATTAGTAGATACTGTCATACCTTTTGAAGAAAAAATAGGAGGCACCTAAACAGAATTTTTGGCTTTGAATTAACTAACTTCCTCGGAAGACTTCCTTGGAGTTCCACACAAACAAAGAAATTGTAGCCTTTAATTTTTAATATTTTTCCTCTAGAATATCACAACAGGGAACTGCCAATTCTCCCACAGAAAAAAAATCAACCTTTCCGAAAAAAAACAAGTCATCTGCTCCATGAATTTGAAGCAAATACTATTAAATAAAAGCATTCAGTGCAGAATGTGAACTGAAAGTCACAGAGTGACTGTACACTCTGTGTGGGAAGAAGAAGTCCCTGGCCTCTCCCTTCACTAAAGATAATTAAGAAAGACGGACAAAAATTGCCCTGCCACTACCTTATATTTTGCATTGCACAGGATGTGCTTGGTCAACAGTTACACCCAAAACGACCATATAAACATAACTTCAGCTGAATTGAGGGTAGATTCAATTTACTTTCATTTACAGGTGATATTTATGCAATCCTTGCCCCACTATGCAAAATGCTTTCTAATATATGAGAAACTACAATATATAGTGGAACCAAAGACCAGATTTCTCTGAACAAACTTGGGCATTTACAGCACAGATGTGTGTGTCTCTTGAAAGCCCACCAGGAGTGACTGTTCCAAGCTAAGGACCCGGCCTGCGCAAGCAGGCTCCAGATCCTCTAGGGAGAGATACTGGATCCAGCTCTCTAAAGAAACTGTATCGTCAGGGAGAAGATTCGAAAGCACAGAGAAATCAACTTCCCCGTTTTTAATCTCACGCTTAGCCAAGTGGCTCACTTGTCTTTTAAAGTTTTATATATATTAATTAGTTTTTAATTAGTATTGGTAAAGCAGATATCTAGAATTACAAACCACCAAATTGAGAAGCCTTGGTTAATTTCCCTGAGCTGAGCTAAGGTGCTTGTCACAGTCCAGTTGGAATTGGGGATTCCCGAATGTCATTAGATCAAGGTTTTTCCCTTCCTTAATAACTGAAGTTTGCACTTAGCTACAATAGCACATGGCTAAGCACAGAAACAGCCTTGCTGAGGCCACTGGATTCTCTATATGATGAAAGTCAGGCACGTACCTACAAATCCCAGGGAAGGGAGGTTTATATAATCTCCTGAGCTGGAAATTTATTCTCTTACTTGTTTAGGAATTATTAGCTAAATGTATGCAGTAAATCTATTTGTACTGAAAAAAAAAAGAATGTGCTGCTTTCCTCTCCATAAGAGCCCTGGGGGTCATTTCAGTATAAAAAGTCCCACCACTTTTCAGGTGGATTGTCCCTGCAAAACTGAAGTTCATTTCAACATGATTAACACAGCGTTTCATCTGGAATTATAATGTCAGTGAAATTCTAGCTTGGTAATTATTTACCTTCCACATCAAAGTTTTTAGCTTAGGGATCCTGAGAACTGGTGAAGATCTTCAACTTGATTTTTCTGATATCTCACTTGAGACCACACAACAGCAGTAACAACCTGCCAAGGTAAAGGAGGCTGTTGTTAGCACCAAGAGGACCCAAGACGCCCTCCCGCTCGGCGTGGAGCATCCAACCTGCTCCTGGGGGCTGGCAGCTGGCGGATGCTCTCTCCCCGTTTGCCGAATACCATATAAAGTGCTCGGGCTGCGCTGGGACCGCGTTGCACCATTGCCTAATATGGTCAGGAAAGGGAAATCCCTGTGCCCAAGGCCCTGGCTGAGCCAAGCCTCCCACATGGCCTGTCACTGTCCCCGCAAGGGGAGCTACGCAGCGAGAGCCATCCCCAGCCATGGCCTGGGAGCTGGGCATCCCGGAGAGCGGCCACGCACCACGGAACTCTCATTCCAGCATGGGGGGAACAGCCAGACGTATGGCCAAGTCATAAGGAACAAACTCATTATTTCAGCTTTCTTAAGTTGGCATGGTTTTAAAGCCAACAGCCATAATCTGTCTGAAACACCCCTGCAATTATAATCTCAAAAATTTATTGTGATTTTCTTGTTTTGAGACTTTCTTTTATTTCCTTTTTTTTATGGGAAACTCTTGCAAATTGCTCACTCTGGGTAACTGTGATACAAGGCTCATCACCTATTGCCATGTGCTATTATTTCTATTAAAGATGGAGTTTTCTAAAATAAAGAATTAAAATAAAGCAAAACACAGATGGGCAACCATCAACTTGTAATTGATATTCTTTTTTTTTGCCTACATGTACATTTCTAAATAATAAAAAAACTTCATTAGAATGTAAACAGAAAAGACATTTTTTCGTCTTTTTTTTTAACAGAAATAGTCATGTAGAGAAGTGTCTATTCGGATTAGACACCCACCTGAAACTATTGTGTTTTTTCTCAAGGACTCTCTCACAGAAGCATTATAATTATGTGGGGTACACATCTTATTTTTATAAGACCTTGCAACATCAATCCAAGATTGTTCCTAAGTTTTCAGCTTACAAAATTTGGCAGAGGATGTACTCCAGTATGCTTAAAATACATTTACAAAGAAATACTGTAAAGTATTGAGGGTATTATGTCCCAAATAAGGGTGATTCACTTTATGTAGTGGAAATAACTGAAGTCAAAATGCTGTTAAGAGATCCCGGCACAACAAGATCAAAGCATGATGTATCTACATTTTCTTGCAGTTCAATTATTAGAAATTATTATTTGTGCACTTGGAAACTTCACCTACACATGTGCATTCACAGTCACTACTTCAGAATACAGAAGAGTTACTTGATAAAATCCTGTTAGTTAAATGCAGCTGATGCCTGTGTTTCCAGACTAGACACAGCACGTGATACTAATTCCATTTTTTATTCCTTGCAGACATATTCAGGTCTCTTCTGCGTTGTGGTAAATCCATACAAACAGCTGCCCATTTATTCAGAGAAGATTATTGACATGTACAAAGGCAAGAAGAGGCACGAGATGCCACCCCACATCTACGCCATCGCAGACACAGCCTACAGGAGCATGCTGCAAGGTAGGCAAGTTTAGTAACACGCCAGTTCTTAGAAATCACTGAAGAGTAACAGAAATGTAGTAGAAAACACCTTGTCATTTCCACACTTGCCCCTGCAAGGAGGAGAAGCAGAGGCAGGAAAGCTCTTTTGCAGAGAGCTACCCAGGCTTTCGGGAAGTTTCCTAGGAATTCTTTGGCAGGAACGGCAGTCCACAAACACTGTGACTCAAAAAGGAAAAACAATCCTTTTACCCATCTGTGTAGAGGCATGTGGGAAGGTTTCAAAGTCAAGCAAATAGTTTTGGCAAATACGGGCATGGAAAATGCTCCCTTTGTACAAGCGGAGACTGCTCCAAAGTTAGCTGCGAATGCTGCTGAGCTCTGCGGCGCTGCTTCTGCCTCCAGCACAGGGAATGCAAGGCACAGTTTGGGGCTACTTTGGTTGTAGTCTTGTATTTCAGAGCCCTGGACTGAGATGTGTTCTATTTTCTAACAATAAAGGCAATGAATAGCGATAGAAAAATCAGTCAGGTCCAAAACAGTATGAACGAAACCATAAAAAATCAGTGTGCCCCTCCTTATGCAGGGACCGCTGACAGATGAAGGGCTTTTTGCTCTAAGGAAAAAGCATTTGTCTGCGGCCAGGGCAGCCCTAGCCCTGAACTGAAGATGCTGCACACCTGCAGATCACAGGTCTCAGAATGAGCCTTGGATGCTCCAGAAACCAGAGTGCTGCTGAACACTTTGCATTAGTGGTGAAATTAGTGGTGAAATTTAAAGGTGCCCATCAGGGATCTGACCCTGCAGAAATTATGGCCTGTGTCTCAATAAGGGAATCCAGACCTGAGTACTCAAACGTTATAATTACAATGTTTGAAATATATAATTCAAGGTAAAACCCTGAGAATCAGATATCTGCTCTGCTATATCAATCTTTTCTCATCCTATGCCTTACGTGACATTTCTTCTGTCTGGAGCCATATCAGTTTCTTTATCCAAGTGGATCCCAGAAGGAAGAATTACTGTGCAATAGAGAGGAGAATCAGTGTTACAGCAACATTAAAGAACACATTGAAAACAGGCCTTTCTGTAACAGCAGCTACTCAGAAACTAAGGCATATAGAATATGTTTAGAGCTAAGTGGGCAGGTGAAAGCTTCTAAAATAACATGATTCAGTAAATCTCACTTTTGACAGAGTACAGCAGAAATTTACTTGGCATTAGTTGATCCCACTAAGTCAAGTATCTGTCTTCAGGATCATCTCTCACATTTTGTATAAAGCAGCATCTAGGGCCCTGAGGTTATGGAGAGCAGTTGTCCTTCCCCACTCAAATTCATTAAGCGGTCGGCCTTGCAGGAGAGCTCCATGGCTTGTGAGAGGCCAGCAGTGGCTACCTCCTTGTTCAGTAAAGCTGAATACTGCTACTTGTCCCTAAAAATAGGATGGGGGAAAAAAAAAAAACAGGAAATGGCCACAAGCTATCTGCAGGAAAGGTAAACGCAAAATCGGAATCGGTTCCCTGCCTGATCCTCGCAGCACAGGCCCTCTCCACTCCTCTCTGACCCTGCTCTCCTTCCCAGCCCTCCCTGGCTGTGCCATGAGGTGCCCCCAGCTCAGCCAGGCAGTGGCTGCAGGCCCCGTGCCAGGCACAGGGAGCTGGAGGCAGCCAGGAGCCGCGGAGCCGCTCGTGCTTCCCCCCTGCTCTCCAGGCGCTCCAAAACTTCCTGGCCCACTCACAGTGGGAACCTCCACACCTCGTGATTCCCTAGCCCCTTAGGAAGGAATATTTCCCGACTGTGGAGAGGAGAGGGGGCAGCAAGTAGGCAGGAAAAGACAGGAGGAGGGAAGAGAGCATAACGTGAACCTTTAACAAACTGCTCCTCCATGGCCTCCCAGCCCGACCACGCGGAGCTGGCACGGCCACCGCGGAGCGGTCCCACAGGCCTTGCGTCACGGGCCCGGGACACCCACGCTCTGCTTGCTCACTGACTTGCACATGCCATGCTGGAGCTTCTCCATCTCAAGAGGGCCCCAGCTGCTTTTAAAGCTGTGCTTTTGTTTGTAAAAATGTACTCGTGTTTTGTGCAGAAAACTAAACCAAACCTCAAAATAACTCTAGATGTTCAGCCAAATTGTATTTGTGTAGGAGTGGTGAAAGTGGGCATCAACATGAATGTGTGTGTGTGCAGGCAACATGTATGGACACAGAGGCCTTCACAGTTTTTTGCAATAATGTTTGCCAACAGAATAAAAACAGAAATTCATATTCATAAATGTGGATCAGGGCACTGATCATTTTCTTCCTTAAATTTTGGTATTCCATCTTATCTGATAAACCTGCACAGATTCTGCTTGCCAAAGTAAAACACATCTTAGGTTCATGAGACTGAAGAATTATATTTGAGTACTGCAGGACCAGAACTGCTTGGCTAAGAGCCATCAGCTGGTTGTTATGCCAAGGAAACTTCTATACATACGTGAATCGAGCCTGAATGTTCCTCAACTGCACAATCTCCAGAGAGGTCGCATTGCAGGTGCATCACCTGGGAGTCAAGGCCTTCCATCCTCTCACCTTCTCTGCTGGCATGAAAATTCAAGCAGAAACCACTAGCTGTGTACAATGCGCTCCCCCTTTGCTTTAGAAGTTTATTGGGTTAATGTAATCAGCTGGGATGACATCAGAGCCCCACCAAACTTGTTCTGGTAATAACACTTAACCACAGTTAACAGAAATCAGATATTTGGACTTTCTTCCAAATATGCATAAAAGCTAGATTCTCACAGGAGCGATAAATAGACAGAAATGCTCACTGGGCATAGATAAAATTTCCACTTATTTCAAGTGTTTCTGAGCACTTAAAACACTTTTTAAAATCTCAACCATGTTGCTGGATGTCTTGTTAAATCTTCTGCTTAACACGTCACCCATCTAACTGACTATGACCTGGGCACGATCATTGCCTTAGAGACCACAATCATAAAAAAATCACATTATGCTTCCCTACCTACCTCTTGTTCCCTTGTTACTGATGAAATAGTTTCCTGGTGGCACAGGCACCCCACAATGTGCTGTATTCCCTCTATGCAAACTCTTGTGCTGCCAGAGCCAGGCTTCATGCAGGTATGAGGCAAAACTGATCCAGGGTAAAACCACCCCTTCCTTTTTCCTGGATTGGTGTGAAGTGGATCAGCTCCCCATCCTGGTGCCCATTGGTGGGCAATGTGGCTGCAGAAAGACCTGGAGCAGCAGGAAGGAGAGGCCAGTGCAGGACAGGGCAGAGGAGCTGGACGTGGGTGCTTCTTGCTGCAGCACTGCCAGCTTCCAGGCATCATCAGGCGAAGACACCGGGAGGCTGAATAAATCTGCTGCCTTCTGACATCTTTCCTGCTCACAGCAAACAGCAAATGACTGACAAATAATACAAATATGAAAATTAAGGTTATGTAGAAGTAGTAATTAAGTTTTCATATGGATGATTAGGCTTTTTTTTTTTAAGTGCTTTGGCAAAAGATGGTCATGGGAAAGATTTATTATAGCTTTCAACAGATTCAGGGAGCTTGTTTTTTTTTTTCCAAAAATACCTTTGTGCAAGTGCTTTATATGCAAGCTTGAGCTGAAGATGGAAAAACAAACAACCTGGTAGTTACTGAGAGGTATAGGAGGGAAACACAGTTCCCAAGATCTGAGAAAAAGACGCTGCTGCAAAAAGCCATCTGTTTACTGTGTCCTTAGCAGGACTGTACAGAAATGTCCCCTTTTGGCAGTGTAGTTATTAACAAATGTAAAGAAGCAGTAAGCGAGTGTTGGAACATGGCTTCAGCCTGTTTTTTCCTTTTATGGTAAAGCTGCCAACTTGCTGCTTCATTGTGATAAACCATCTGATTTTGTTTGTGATTAAGCAGAACTGGCTGGTCTATTGGGAACAGAAGGGCATATGATTCTTACAAGCAAACTGAAGTTTGCAATGCTTCAGTCCTGAGGAAAAAGCTAAACAGATTCCAGGCAAAAGTAAATTGCACATTTAAGTAGGTGGGTGGTTTTCAGAACGTAAAAGTAGGGCTGTATGCTGCTAAAAAGGAGAATGCAAAGGTTTCTGGAATGTTTAAAATAGACAGGTGGACAGGTCCATGTAAAATAGGGGATGGACATGATGTTCTCCTAGGTCGTATCAAATTGAAAAAGGCTTTAACTAAAGACATTTGTGGACTTGGAAGACACATTTTGTTCCTGTGTAAAACATAGGAATTATGTTTAAGAAGCTTCATTTGTGCCAATCATTCTTTTCTCATCTATTTGCATAAAGTTGCAGATTCCTTAAATAGGGCATAATTCCTTAAAAATAGAATAAAATAATTTGGAACACAGCTAAGAGCCATCAATGTGGAGAGCCCTTGAAAAGTACGAAAGACAGGTATTTGTAGGTTCGGGGCATAACAGAATAAGACTTGGCTTATACAGTTTGTTCCTTCTCCCAAAAGGTACTTCTTCTCTCACACAGTCAGCAAAAGCGCCTATATGCACCCATGCAAACACCTGCAGAGGCCAATCTACCTTCAGGAACCTTCCCACATCCCTTGTGCTGACTGTCTTGTGATGTTCCCATCGGTGGGAAGCAGGCAGGCAATTTCAGGGGACTGATGCCATGGCAGTGGAGAAGGTCCCAGGACAGTCAGCACTGTCTGGACAACACATGGCAAGGGAAGGACACTGCTGAATGCGAGGCTGCAGTGAAAGGAAGCTTTAGTGAATATTCTAAGCAGAGAAAATACTGGGGAGGAAAAGAACAGCAATGGGGAAGGAAGAGTGCTGAAGAAATAGCTGGCTTGGGGGAGACCTACTTTTTCTAATGTCCCTTGGGCTCAGAAATTCCACAGGCAACTCTGTATCAAGGCATAGCTTTTATTTTCTTCATGGTATTAATGGGTTTGTGATGTAATATTGATATATGCCCATGGTTTCTATTTACACAACATGTATTTTTAGCAAAAATTCTACCGTGTTCTCACTTTTTTTTTAAAAAAAAACTTGAAAGATTATCTCCATACCCTGCAGTGAAAAGTAAACATGGCTCACAGCTCCTCTCATCCAAAATGTTCATGTGGGATAACCCTGCTGTGCTTAGTGCTGACAAATATCTCCAATGGAAAAGTAATGATTCATTTTGCACCAATTTACAAGCTAGAGCAGTTAAGTGGTGCTATTTACTGTGAGAGTGTTCAATAAAGCAGTTAATTATTGGATTTACTTGAATGCTGTTGAGGAACTGGGCACAAACACAGTTGTTTAATATAATTCCATGGCAAAGCAGAATCCATTACTGCTTTTCCTAGACTGGCTGAGATCCAGACAGCAATTAAAACTGGCAAGCTTAATAGGTTGAATTTATCTCCATCATCTTTACACAAGGCAGAAAGCTTGTTTACTGTAGGCAGTTATATGATATTTATTACATACCGGGTCAGTTTTAGGGGCAGGCAATCAGGTGGATAGCTCTGCAAAGTCACCAACTCACTGAACAAAATGAGGAAGTAGTTGATGCCTTATCTTTGCCCAGGGGCCCAAAAGCTCTAACACTAGCTCTGCATCTGATAGCTAATACGAAAACATACAAAACCCCCTTTGTTTCTGCTTTAGTTAACAGGCTACAGTCTAGGATCTGTAAATTATGCACATATTTCAAAAACGTATTTCACCTGCCTAGGATTTATTTTCCTAAGCAAGCAGCTTGTTTGCAATGTGTGCAAGGCTATTTCTGACAGCCTAGCTCAAAGAAGGGCAAACTTCCAACAGCAGGCCCATTTGCTCGGGATCATGTCCAGTCTATTCCGATTATCTCCGAAGGTGGATATAACACTCTCCTTGGGACAATCTATTCCTATGCCTGACCATCCTCACAGTGAAACCTTTCTTCTGTTTAGAGATAACCACTGCAAGGAGGCTAGTCGGGTGTATTTATATAGAGGTCAAATTTTATAGCCTTCTGTTATCACAGACCTTTGGGAAAGTGTCATTTCTTGGAAAAACATTACCTATTCTACTGAGCATATGATGAAACTTCAGCACACGCTAATTGTGCACCACAGCCCGAAGATCTTAGTTTCAGCCTTGTGGTAGAAAGTTCCCTGTATTCTGAGGTGAGAGAGATCCTGACCTCAAATGCACAAGAAAGGATAGATACAGCAAGAACGGGTTAAGGAGTTTGGATGCAATCCTGAACCTTGCTGCCTCATTACAGCATATTGGAACTCTGCTGCTCTGAAACCTCCCACATCCTTTTCATAATAGATATTGTCTAATGAAGATTTTGGTTCACCTTTTTACAAATTGTGATCCAGTATGTGTTTGGTAGTTCTGCTAAGAGTTAAAAAAAAGAATGAAGAACACTTACATACTTGTTAACATGTCTTGTAATACATGTGAAGTGTCTTGTTTTGGCTTATCCTTTGGAGGATACTTAAGAGAACATATTTATCCTCTTGATAGAAGTCCTCTCTAAATCTGAAAAGAAATAAGAGTACATTTTTCAGGTATTTGGACTGCTCTGCTTTGAAAATCTAAAGGTCTGCATGACCAGGTAGCTTCTGATACCTTGACTATCCAGACTTCATATTAAATAGGCTTTGGCCATACTTCGTAAACACAGTAAAAACTTCATTTTCAAGCTTGAAATTTTCAATTATAATCTTCTTAGAGAGGGTATGATCTTTCTGGTGTTCTCATTACAGTTTATCTGTAAAGGAATTCTCAAAAAATATTTTGAACTCTTAACCTTTTGTTCAATTTTGGTACAAAATATTTCCACTAGAGATGCTTATTTAAATGCTAGCAGCTATTTATATCTCTACATAATGATGCTTTCCTTATTTGAAGTTGCTCAAACCCTGATGGAACTGGGTCTATGGCCCTGGCCTTCAATGGAGCTTGAGCTCCAGTCCCACCAGAAGATCCACCTGATCATCAAATATAAAGGTGGTAGCAGGCCCTTAGGAGTCCTTAGTGCACAAGCCTTTTGCTTTAAAGTGACTTTCTGAATTCAGAGTATTTACAATGATGAGGCATGCTCAGGGAGCCTGACTGTCAAACTCTGTGTAGAAGGAAAAAGGGATTTTAAATATTCCCTAGTGGAAACTGAGGAAACTCTAAGGAAAGCAGAGCATCCTGGACATTTCTTCAATCACTTCTCATATTTTGCTGTTGGTACCTCACCATCACATCCTAAATCAGTTGTCATTACAGAAGACATTTCATGTTTGTGTGGTTGTGTTGTGCTGCTTGCATGCACGATAGCTAGTGGTGTGCTAGTCTTGCCTACCTGGCCCCTTTGGCTCAGGAACCTGTGCCCCGCAGGCTGCTCCGTTCCCCGATCTGTGCAGGGCTCCCTGACAGGCCGGGCTCCGCAGTGCCGCAGCTCCAGCTCTGGACGCTTGGCACAACATATTTGGGCAGGGTGAAAGCTCTGTTTTCCTGCATCTTGGCTTGCTCAAGGCCTCCTCTTGGAACACCGACCTGACAGTGCTCAGATAACATCACACTGAATGATTCACCCGTTGTATTGGATCAGGCCCTGATTTTACTGCAATGAGCTTTGCTGTGCAGAACATACTACTTTAATATCACAGGTAGCTTCTATTTGATGTTTCTTTGACCATTTCTTCAGTCCTTCATCACACTTTGCCATTTGGTTGGTTTTATTTACTTGAATGCCACTGAGGATGCTTTTGAATTAATTTTGTATTCACTGCGTCTTCCAATTTTCCTGATCAAAGGTGGGATTTTATTCTGTGTAAATACGAGTTATCCTTGTTACAGAAGGTGGCACATGTACTATTCGTATCAGCTCCATACAGTGAAGTTGTAGTCTGCTAAATACTATAAATACACATAGTCCTGAAGTGAACTGTTTTGGGAGGTCATCCATCAAAATGAAATGAGTGAATATATATTTATATCATAGTTTTAAAAAACAATGCCACTGATCACCAACATTATAGCTATTTGAGAATGCCCCTGCTGACAGGAACAAATTTATCATCTAAGAAAAACTAAATTTTTAAACTGGATCCAAAACCCATGAGGGCCAGAATAACTCTGACCTCTGTTCTAACCAGATCCCATTCCATTACGTTGCCCAAAAATTCATTTAAACCAAAACAAGTCTAAAATTGATGCAATGATGAAATAAGAATTGACCATCACTATCTTCCCAGGATGAAACTTGTCATGATAATGAAGACTAATTTATGATATGCATTTCCTCCTTCTAGTACTGTACTTCAGTTTATTTTCCCACTCTTCAGATCTTCTTTTAACTTTGGAATATTAGAATTTTTAGGAAAGGAGATTTCTTTTGCAAACCTATGCCTTTTTTCATTAAAATCCTTTAAAGATTCCATTTCCAATAGCTACGATATATGTTGAATATGAAAATAAATAAGTGTTTTTTTCTTATGTAGCCAGCTAAACTGGGAAACTTAATCAAATCATTTCATACAGACCGGTAATACATAAAACAGAGATAATGTCTCTCCCATTTTGAAAACAGTCATAGTTTGTGATTCATCTAAACGTTCAGAAGAGTTGTTGTGTATTGAATGGCTGCTATGACCCATAGTTACACTGAGTCTCACCAATCTTTTCAGTCAGAAAGATTAGGCAAATTAAAATAAATGTACACAGCTTTAACCACCACTGCCCTATCATCCTTGGCCTTATTTGGCAGTACAGAAACAAGAATGATCATTTGGCTTTTAGCTAGGCAGCGCTCCAGCAAAAGCATGTTGCATTATTATATAACTGCTAAAAATTCTAAGAAATTATCTATTTGTCTAAAATTTATAACAGTAACTGAAGAGTTCATGGCATTGATCATCTGGAATCTTTTCTTAAAATAGCTATAGACGCAAACTTTCCAAGGTGCAGTACCTAAATTGTAAAACAAGAAAGCAGCTATAAGTATTTATACGTAAATACCAAGAATTCATTAATACTTCATGATATTGCAATATAGACTCTTATTCTTCCACTTATTGCTAGCACATCTTCCACAGATAACTTTTGTTTATTTACTTTATGGGAATTCAACAGGATAGCCAAAAATAGGTACAGAAATACAAGCAGAAATGGTGTGCCTGATTTTTAAACACCGCATGCAGTGTAGTTTCTACTATTTCTCCTGCAAAATTATTTCACTGTCAGTACAGCTGCCCTGGAAACCAAAGGCCTGGTGGGGGTGCAAAGCACCCCAGACTCACCTAACATGGGCTGGGCTGCAGCACAGGGGATGTGGTTGCACCCAGGTCTGAGAAGTAGGGAATGACCCCCTGTTCTTTGGATTTCACCCTCAATGCATTGAACGCACTCCCGAGTTGCTAGGTATTGTTGTCATTCTTTTCCATCTCCTTTGTGTGATTAACTGTGGTATGTTTAAAATGTTCCGTCTTTAATGCCTCAATGGGTTCTGATGCTCCCACAAAATTCCCTGTGTTTGCTAGACTTTATTTCCTCTGTAGTAATTAGTATATGTGTGCTGCCTTTGATCTACTTCCCCATGCACGCACTCATTCCCATGCTGGTTCTGGGCCATGGGCAGCATCGCGGCGCAGCCTCGGCTCATCCTCTGCCAGCTGCTCTCTCTTGGCAACAGCCAGCCCGAATGCCCAGCGTCCACGCCGGCACGGACAGGCCTTGGCTCTGCTTCCTGTCTCATTTAGGTGGGGGTATTCCAGCTGATCTGAGAGCATGAAATACTATTTCATGCATCTAAAAATTTAGGCAATTAAGATGTTTTCACCATTGTGTTTCAGGCCCTATATGTCCCATGCAGCCTCCTCCCTCTCCCTAGCTACTGGGATTCCCTGAAATTCCTGCCCCCCACTGTAGTCTCCCATATTTGATGTTTGAATTGGCCATGGAATATTCTGCTCCCTGTGCTTATTCTTGAAAAGCATGTTCTGAGGGCCTGGGTTGACCAGTGCATTAGAAGTGGCTGAAGGAAAAATCCCAGTGAATCTGTCAAGTTACTCGGTGAATTCAGCAACCCAACTTGGAGTGAAGTGGACTAAATGATGTCCAGGGAAGAGGCTTGTGACTTTACCTAATAATAACTAAGATAAGAAAAGGCAGCAGTCCTCAGAAGGGACTTCTGACCCCACAAGTACCCCACAAAGGTAAGTTACATTAAGACAAGTAGATGTCTCAGGGAGTTTTCTAAAGACCTTTTTACTAAAAGTCCTGTGGGGCCTAATGGCATGTGTGAGCATACAAGTTCTTTAAAATCTAGCCTTATACCTGTCTGATCTTGCAGTTGTCATATTTTGATCACTTAGTAAAAAGACTGGGTAGGATATATGTGCTTTGTTTTGTTTTGTTTTCCTAGAAAGCTGATTTGGCTAAAAAGACTGAGCACTAGCTTCAGTTAAGCAGTCACCATCAATGAATAAGAAAAAATCTGATGAGAAACCAGAATGATCGGGGAAATGTAAAGCCTGAAAAAAGAAATGATTATTAAACATATGATCTGTACTCTAAATTATTTTTTGTTACATTTTACTAGTTTATAGATTCATTTAGTTTGAACATACTCTATCAAAACATATGATAGCAGGGTGCTATTTCCATTTAATTGGATACAGTAAAAGACAAAATACTGGTGAGGCAGCAACCGCCCTGCCCTTTCCTCCTTCCTTCCCCTCTCTGCTAATGGGCATACTTTGCAGAGCCTCACACAGCCCAATAACCTCAGCCTGTTTTATCCCTTGACATGTGTCAAGAATCAGAGTCATCCAGAACATCCTCTAAATTGCAAAGTCCAATTAGTTAAAAGATTCTTTCACAAGAGAGCAAAACTCTTTCCTTTCCCAGCCAACTAAATCTCAAAGGCTGGAGCTGGCAGGCTTCACCGCCTGGCCCTCCTCCCATACAGATATCCCGAGGAGCTTTAGCCCTGGGGTGGAGCTTGGTGCCAAATCAGTTTGGTCCCTTTGGGGAATTTTCTTTAAGTAAACAAGTAGATCAGTGGGCCGGGTTGTGAGCCACGTCTCTCAGGGGGCACAGCTGAATTGGGGCAAAGATTTTCATTAGCTCTGCACATCCCATATTGCAGAATGGAGCTGCCAAAGCACTGATGTGATTTAGAGCACCTCATTGACTGCTCTGTGCAGGGAGGCCTCCCGCAGTGCCAGTGTCGCCAGATTAAGAGATGTGCGAATGGTCAATTTTTGTGGTTCGTTTCTTACTGAAATTAATGCAGAAAAATGTTGCTGTTACTTTTCAGACTTTTCCAAAAGTAGAATTAAGTTGAAAATCACAAGTATTCAACTTAAGTTCTATACTGCAATTTTAATACAGGAACTTTCAACTTTCCAACATAAAATCACTCGTATTGGTTTTCTTTTTTTTTGCCCAGAAAAAAGTGCAGGCAGTCTATGTGCACAACTGGCTTAGTCCACACCAGCAGGGCCAACTTGTCACTCACTCTCTCCCAGTTTGGCAACCCATTTCAACCAGGATATTTTTCAACTAAGGTGGAAGCAATGGAGTCATGAAGGATTTAGTAGTTAGTATGTCAAAAAACTCTTTCAGATATATGTTATCTTATGTGCTTTAAACCCTATATTGAGTTTTCTTCTAAGCCTGACAAGAAGCAGGGGAGGAATGTACTTGAACTGTGCCATTTATGAAGAAAGGAGTGTTTCTAACAGGGATAGCTTCTAAATGCCATGAAGCTCTTCACTTCCTTGGGAAAACAAGAGCATTTCTTAGGGAGAGGTGTATGGGAAGTACTGGTGCTGCAGTCATGAGAACTGCAAGCCGGGGACTGCTTTTGCTTTGCTTAGTTTGTATTGCACATCTGAGCCAGGTCCAAGGAACTGCACTGGCAGTAATTGTGCTGCCTCGATCTATGGCAGTATGAGATACTTCAGCTACCCAAATGATTATGATCTTCCAGGAATAGACTAATCAAGACAGTGGTAACTCAGGTAGTATGATGAATTCTCACTTTGGAACGTGATTTGGGGACACATATTGAGGAAAAAAGGCTCTCAGAAGAGAGGAACAGATGCCTCCTGTGAGGAGTCCTGTTGTGAAAGCCTCAATCACTGAAAGATGTTATCAAGAAAAAGATCCACCTGGAAAATTTCAAAAACTGAGATTAAGTGTAAAAAGCATATATATTTTAAGGACAGGAGAAGGAAGTGCTTTTCTCTGGATACCACCTAGAAGCTGTACCACAAGGGAAGTTGTTTCTGTCATCCCAGAAACTACAGTACTTGGAGTCACAGATATTTTATGACTGAGATGAAGTCCAGTAGTTGACATACAGCTGTGATGTACCTTTCAGATTATGAGGCTGCTTATGTTGTTTAATGGATACTTGTATATCAGACCTGTGTATTTAAAATGTACTGAGTTTTTAAAATGCTCTAATATATTTTTTTAAAAAAATAGACATATCCATTAGCTAAGAACAGTGTCTTTCCTTACTTAATGACCTTGGAGACTTCTTTTTCCATCTGTAGCTGTTAAGGTCCTGTCAGTTAGTTTTCCATTTCATGTTAAAGAAGAGATTTTTTTTCTTGTCCACCTGATTATGAAGTTAAAGCTTCAAAGAGGTTCTGCAGAAAAGAGAAAGCTATCAGCGTGTGCAGGAGCAAAGAGTTAAGGAAAGAAAGCACAGAACAAAATGTTAAGTAACTTAAGCATTACTGTATGGTAGGATAATTACAAGCAAAATGATGCCATATATGGTAATACTTACAGGGAATCAGGGGAAAGCCAAGTGATGGGCACTGTGGCCCTGGGAGAAAGGAAATGCAATTCATGTAGTGATGAACTACAAATAACCTTTGATAAAATGAAATAGTTCAAAGCCTAGGGTTTGTTTGAAGAAAGTTTTTGTATTTTGCAAAAGAAGCAAAGTTATAAGGTAGATTTATTTGAAAACCCTGTAAACGTCTTCAAACTGGTGTGCTTGGTTTGGAATTGCTCCCAGGACACTTAATTTTTATCAATAAAACATGGAAATGCTTTAGCATTGAAGACCAGGCATGGATGAATTCAGCCTCTAAACTGTGCAAATTAACCTCAGTCTTTAGAAAAGGAACATGCTCATCTCATTATTTCTTGTAAAAACTCTAAAAGCCAGAAGAAACTCTTCTCATCACCATGTACCTCAGGCAGGAATTATTTCTGGCTTCCTAAGGTTTACATCAATGTCATCCTGCCTTAAAAATTCTGCCCAGCACTTACTCATATTTTTTAAGCCCATTTATCACTGCTCCCTTGGTAGGAAAAATTAACTCCTGCATTTCCTAATTAGGAAAAACAAGCAGAACTGCAATGGGTCCACCTAAATAGTTTCAACTTCAGAGCTGTCACATATACATGGGACTTTTGAATGTATTGTTCTTTTTATTTTTAAATATATTTTAATTTAAATACAAAACCACAGAGGTCCAGCTTATATTTAGACTATTGCCCTCCTTACAGCACTAGCTTGGTAAGAGTCAAAATAATTAGCCTGAGTTTAAATTACATCCACACCCACTTAAATGGCCTTTTTCATTGCTGAGTGAGAGCAATATAAAAATATTTTAGCCTAAATAATCATCTGAACCAAAGGAATTTAAAAGAAGTGCAACAATGTAATGTGACACCTAGGGAGGACAGAGGTGGGCTGGAAATGTTTTTACTTCTGAGAAATAACCACACAAATCTGACCTTTGTACATGTACTTTGAAAATTTTACTTTAAGGAAGGACTTAATAGCTGTAAATAAACTTACCCTTCTTCTGCGAGGTGGAAGGTTAACGCTGCCTTCCTGCTTTTCAAGACACACTGCACAGAGACATCCCAGATGGGATGCTGCCTCACTGGTTGGAAATCTGCCCATGTGAGAGATCCCAAATGACCTGGTGGGTACCAATACCTGCTCAGGCAGTTATGTTTTTCGATCTTAAAATACAAGCATATTCCCTGCCAGCCCCACTTCTCAAAAACATTCAGATGCTGCCAAAGCAAGATGAACTGCTGTTTAAAAATGTGTCATGTTTTAGGATTGCCTTAAATGGACCACTGTCCAGTCAAAACACTAATGAGACAGAGCAACAGCTCTCACACTGCGTTCCTTGGATGCTGAAGTCAGGTGGAATTGAAGAGATGGTGTCCTGGGGCAGACACTGAGCTGTGCCCTTTCTAAGCTTGCTTTTGTACTACATATACTTCACATGGTGGAAGGAGTTCACTAGTTACGTACCTTCTTTTGTGTTATTTTCGTTTCCCTCAGAGGTGAATCTGGTGCTGGCAAGACAGAAAATACCAAAAAGGTCATTCAGTATCTGGCTTTCGTTGCATCATCACATAAGGGCAAAAAGGACACCAGCATCACAGTAAGTGATCTCCTCTCTATTCAGTTTTCCTTCAAGCTTGTTAGGACTGTACTTAGCTGACTGTGCTAACAGCAAGTCAACATTTGTGGCTTGCCAAATAGTCGACATATTAAGAGTACACAATTATGTCAGAGCTTTATGTTTATGGAAAAAAAATGTCTGCCATCCCTTTAGGCACCAAATCAGAATGTATTTTGCTAGAAGAGAATTATTTATAGCTTTCCGTATGTACAGTATCTATTTACTGCCTAATATGAAGGCCTTGGGGTCTGCAAGGTTTGAGTCCTTATTTTACCCCTGTCAACTAAGAAGTTTGGGAAACCCTTTAACTAGCACATTGTGCAGCTGCATCACAGAAATGTGTGCCAACATTTAAATATCCAAAGTTTTGATCAGCTTCATTATCAGGCATATTTTCTTACTACATAGCAAAGAGTCCCAACATAAAACCTTCACATTTTTTTGGTTTCTCTTTAATCCTCTGACAAAGAGAGAACAATTTTGAAAGATGGAATTCTTTACGAATAGTTTGTTGCCTCAAAACTTGCAGCAATCCTGCTTTAGTGACTGAAGTTCCTTATATTGTTATGAACCATATTATGAGCTTATACCTACCCAGTTCCAAGACCATTCATGTGGCTGACGCTTCTACGTGTCCTTCTTTTCAAAGAGGCAACTCCAGTTCCTAAGTTTTACAGGGTCTTACAGCCTTTTAAATTTCACTCAAGATCTTCTGTAAAAAGATGTAGGAATTGACAGGCCTAATCTAGGAAGAGATTCCAGTGTGTTCTGAATACAAGACTGGGTCCAAAGTGAGTAATTCCTTCTTTGGATCACCATTTAAAATCCATCTTAAATTAAAACCCAAAGGTAAGGACAAAGATCCGAGGTGACAAGGAGCTGTAACCATGGCTGTTGAGCCTACCTAATTCATACTAGAACAGCTGTGTGCAGGCAAGCAGGCCATGACCGGCCCTGCCCTGGATCTTGCAGCTCCCTGCCCTGCCTCTCCTGGACTTGAGCAGAGGGAGGGCTGCAGAGCACGGGGTGTGCAGAGCAGCCCCGTGCAGGAGTCACCGTGGGCTGGGGCCGGCAGGCTCGCCCGTGGGGCAGCGGAGGGAGTACATGTCCCTTTGGGCAGTACTTTCTAGAAATCTGGGATGAGGTTTGATGGAAACTAACCAAGACTAAGGTATAATTTTCCCGTGTTGAACGTTAATGCATAAAAAAATTCTTTCTACTAAGTCCTGCTCAGTGACAGGGGAATGAACTCACGGCCTCAGGGCCATTTCTAACGGACAAGTAACTGGAATTGCTGCTGATTCCTGTTTTCATGGGGAAGTTCATGAAACTCAGGATCAAACTAGCCCTGAAACAGACCTGCAGGCAAATATCCAGCAGATGAGGGCTAAAAGGAAGTCTAAATTGTTCTGTAACATGCTGTCTGATAGTACTTCAGTGGCTGGGACAACTGGCATTGCAAGTACAGCCATTAAGAAGAGTGAACAATAACAAGATGATTCAGTTGCAATAAAGAATAAATATGGGATTTACTATTAAAAATATTTCTCCTTCTCTGGTCCTGGGAGATTAACTTGGGACCAGATCCAAACCCCATCCTTTTGGTTCAGCTTTTTCTTTCTTCAGTTAGAATGCTGTATGTATGTTAACTGTGTTTGTACTCTTGGTGTGTCTGAAATGTGTTGTTTTTATTTGTATTCCTGTTTTTTTTTGCATGGAAACTGTATATTGGTTATTTTAATACAGGAAAAGCAATAAAAATGTCTCTGTAATGGAAATGATACTGACACTTGTTTTATACCACATTATTCAATACAGCAAGGTCCATCTTTTGCTTACGTGAGTAACTTAGACTGTTTGGTGTGTGTTTAAGGCACTGAGTGTAGATCTGCATGCTATTGTTGCACCCCAAAAATTTAAGAGAGACTTTGTTGAAACATGTTGTATGATATGAAAAGCAACAATAGCACCAAATGCTCTCACAAATCAACCCTAACTGTGTCAGGCTCCAGGACAAAGAATGAGGTCTGACACAGGCAGGGGTTATCTTTCCAATATCACCCTGTTCTATATGCGTGCATTCAAATGGCCGTAGTTTGAATGAATTTTCCCACGATCCTGAAAGAGCCAATCAGCCTGAAATTAAGCAGTGTGCTCTCCGAATGAAAATACTCCAATGCTTTCTGTACTTCAGGTTGAACTTTTTAGGACTGTTGTGAAATAATTCCTAAACCTCACGGTGTGCATTCGATCTGTTACGTTGCCTGCATGCTCTCCATTTGATACTGCTTTCAAGTTTACCTTTTCATGTAACTGTTGAGAATTGTTCACATCTGCAAAAGGTAGCATGCTTCTAGCTTGCTGCTGTGATATATAACAGAGCAATTACCACTGCAGCCTGTCTGCAAGTGCATTACGGCAGATCCTGATAGGCCTCAGAGGGCCCTCGGTACCGGGGTGCACAGCACCAGCACCCCGGGGCTGGGAAGGGAGGCAGCTTTACTGGCACATTCTTTTTGGTTTGTATGCCAGGAAAATGGGATTTTTCTTTGTACTGGACTTTTTTTTTTTTTTTTTGCCCTATTCTGACTGCTGCCATTCAGCCTTTGGCAATGATAGAAGGCAAAGCAATTGTAATACCTGCTATATTGCCCCTCAGTTCATTTGACAACTTTAAATATATATTTATATATATTTATTTTGCTACTCTGTAAAGAACTAACTTCATGGCTGGCGTAAGCATCCCTGTGGAGTTCAGTGGACTTGCAGCTACATACAATGCTGTTATCTTGGAGCCACAGTTTTATACTCCCCCATTCATAGCACCCATCCTCACTCGGAGTGGATGTGTTTCTGTCCAGCTCTGGTGGCCAAGGTTGCTCTTCAGCTGTCACCATCTGATTTCCTACAACCTATGCTCATAGTACAGGTTTTAAAGCTACTGACTGTACATTTGCCCAATACAGAGAAGCTTTAGGAACCTTCAGGAACTCATTACTTCCTGCAGGGTGGCTGTTCCAGCTTGTTGAAAACTCTCTCCCCTCTTCTTCCAGCTCAGCAGATTTTTTTGTTGTTGTTTTTGTTTTTTTTTCAGTGCAATTTTATTTTAGCCCTTAGCTCCCAATGGATCTATGTTCTAGGAAATCCTCTCCTCCTCTCATTACTATTCTGATAAATTTAGCCATCAATTAACAATATGTTGCCTTTTAACTATATTTTTGAGGCAGTTCTCATCATTGCCACACAAGTTACAAAACATTCCACAACTGTATATAGAGAAAGATTACCAGTTTTCCACAATGATAGTGAAAAACTAATTTTTCAATTTTTTCCTCTGGCTTCAACCTAAATATTCCCTCAAAAGCATTGAAATAATATGATGTATTATCTATCATGAAAGTTTTCTGCTGTTATTCATCAAGAATTGTTTGAAATGATGCATATCATTGCTGTGAAAGTTGAGTGACTTCATAGCACAGAGCTAAATAAGAAGTTGAAAAAAAACTGTTTTCATAAAGTATTTTTTCAACTTCATTTGTTTATTTAGAAATAGGAGTATTAAATGCATGCACGTTTCATTGCATGATTTGTTTCATTAGCAATTACCAATCACAATTAACAATATAATACAAAGTTTGTGTGTTTGCATGAGAATTCATTATCTTGGTTCGAAATAAATTAATACATTTCCATATTTAACCTAAATAGCCTTGCATGGATCATTATTAATAGACTTGGTAAAATCTGCTTTGTAGCTTTGTGCTGCATTACATTAAAATGATTCTCGGCAAGTTATTCTAATTACATCATCATTTGCTAGCAAAGGATCTCAGTACACTAACTTGAAAAGGACTAGTAAGAAGTTCCTTTAAGAACATCCTTTCTTAAAAAATAATAATAAACTGAAATATATATATATGACAGTGAATGACCCTTTTTATTTTAAAAGGCCAGTCATTATGCTAAAAAGATTAATACACTTTGATCTGTCACAAGCAACAGAGCTGGAAAAGGGTCATGTATACAGGAAGAAGTCAACTGCACAAATATATAAACACAAAGATTAACAGAGAATGAAAACAAATTTACATGAAGTGCAGTATTCAGCAAAAAAGTTTAGAAGCTTAAATTATCTTAAATTATTTTTCCTCCAATGTACATGTGCTGGTTTAAATTAAGTAAATATGGAGTAAATGGATAACTGAGTCTGAATAAATTTTAGGGTGAGCTGGAAAAACAGCTTCTACAGGCAAACCCTATTCTTGAAGCTTTTGGAAATGCCAAAACTGTGAAGAATGACAACTCCTCCAGATTCGTAAGTAGGAAAAGACCGGCTGGGTGTGTGTGGTGGGACGTACAGCATCTTTGAAAACAGAGTGTACAGGGGCCCTCATCACCATGCTCTCCCATCCTGCTGCTCCCTAAAGGGCTTCTTCAAGCTAATCCCTTTAAAATAGTGTATAGAATCCCTCTCTGAAGTAAAAGAATTGGCCGTTCAAGAGATTAAAAATAAAGCTCAAATCTGACAGTACCATTGTCCTCTTACAAATTAGCAGCCCGTGTGTGGTCTTCCAGAGTTAATTCCTACTCCAGAACATTTTCACCTCCCTATCCACCTCTTTGCAAAAATAACAAATCTGTTCTTTTTCTTTGCACAGATGTTGAACATGCATCTTACCTTAAGGTGTGATGGTTATTTATTGAGAGTGATTAATATATGAAATGATTAACTATATGAGAGAAAATGAGAAAACAGTCAGAAAGAATCAAGTTGGATTAATATGAGCAGGGACTGTCAGTATTTGATGACACTTTTTGTTGGGAATAGGGGTAGAAGCTTCCTTTCCCATGCAGGCCTTGCTCTCCCTGCTCTGCTCTTCTCCTACAAAGTTCAGGGATCCATGCAGAGGAAACTTAGGAGAGGGAGTTACACAAATCCAATTCTATTCCCTCTCTGACCTTGTGGAAATCAAAATAGAAAAAGATGTTGGCATATCCCCAGCTTTCACAGGCTGCTCCTTGTGGTAGGGACGCCTTAACCTCTAAGTACTTGAACAAAACATCCCATGAGTTTGTCCCAAAGGGAGGGAATCAAGGATGTTAATTTTAAAAGGATGACCTATATGTCTCACTAAACAGGCTAAACACTAACGTTGTAAAATCCAGAATAAAGGGGTGAAAAAATAGCTCAATCTAGGTCTTCTTTTCATTCACAGGGTAAATTCATCCGCATCAACTTTGATGTGACAGGCTACATTGTCGGAGCGAACATAGAGACTTGTATCCTTTTCCATGAGCTACACTAACTAGAGTGAGCAGAAGGAAGTAACATAAACAAGCTCCCCTGCATGTCTAAGAAAGGCAAATATTGCTAAGACTGGTATAAACAAAGATGGAGGGAAGTGGCTCCATTTGCACTGATACCAGCTTCTCAGCTTGTCTTACTCTCGTGTTTACATTTTCATGTCTGTTTTCTCAGCTATAGGAAAGTATGCTATGCCCCATGCAGAACTTCAGAAATGGCAACAACATACCTAAGCTAACGAAGGGGACTTTGAAAACGGTCTCAATAACATGATGGAGTGAGAAGACTGTTTTGTGCTTAAGATTGCACATGGTCTTCAGTCCCTTGCTCTGCCTCAGGGTGATCCTGCATGGGTCACTCCACTTCCCTGTGATATGATTTGCCAACCATATAAATAGTTGGAAACTTCCCTGCTTCTCAGTGGTTCTGTGATTGACAGTTTGGGAAAAAAAAAAAAGGCATGGCACTATATTTTATTTAGCAACTTGGGAAGTGCTTTTCAAGTTTCCGGTCCTGCCAGTGGGTCGGGAAGAGGCCCGTGTAGGCAGCAAGGTCTCACTCCGAGCCCCGTGCACACCGGCTTCTGCATGGGAAGAAGCCCCAAGGCCCTGGACCATCCCGGCTGAGCGCTCGCGTGCCTCCTAGATTACACATATGCCTGCAGAGGTCACATATATACTGCCAGAGACAGATTCCATGATAGCATTGAGAATCACCTGTCAAGGGAGATGTCTAGGTGACATCTAGTATGACAGGACCTAGTTCATGTCTGCAGGAGGCCTGTCTGAATAGAAGTAACAAACTTTCACTTCTACCCCCATGAAGTCTTTATAATAATAAGGACAAAAGAGACAGGAAAAGCCAAAGATGAGCTCTCTTAGAGTCCTCACAGTTGATCTCTTTCTGTGAATTGTAATTTTCCCCAAAATTGCCTTGATCTTTGCATATGTTATTAAATCACCATGGCCAGAAATGACTTGCCCTGAGAGCTTATACAGTTGAAGTGGAGCAAATATTTTACTGGTGCTAATGCCCCAGTCTGCACCAAGTGCTGGATAATTCCAAAGGGTTTGCCCGCTCCACATACTAGATACTGTCCTGCTATATTAGATGAGACACCCAGAGCAGTATGCTGTATATCAATAACCTCCATGCATTTTTTTCAGGAACAAAGTATAAACATTACAGAAAAATTCAGCTTAGCCTGAGTTTGCTTGCCAAGCATTGCTGACTCTTTCTTTGGTTATGTTTATGAAATAGTGTGTTTTAATGTGTAGCCAGATTCCTCAGTTGCTGTACTGCTTATCTTTGCACAGAGAAGGAACTGCTAACTCCAATAAATGAGGAAAAAGAAAGATTCAGCTACAAGGAGAGAATTTCCCTCTTGGGTGTAGAATCAATAGCAAACATTTTATCCTTCTGTTTTTATTCTAATGAGTGATCTTTAGAAAAAAATGTTTCTAATTCTTTTTGCTCCTAACTGAAGTTTTATATTTTCTACTGATGCCTCTACTACAGGATTAACAAGGGGGTCTAACAAGGGGACAAACACTGGCATTTAAAGAGAGAATCACTAATCAGTGCTGAAATACTTGGCTTTTATTGCTTTTATACTTGTAATTCTGGCCTTAAAACACTCTATATCTAGCAGCCCCATCTTATGCTGAAAGGATCAGATTGATATTTCACCTTAAAAGGTGGTGGGAATGATATTGTGAACATTTTTTCTATATACATAATTTTGGAAACACTTGTATCTATTGTAGTGCTTACAGCCATGATTACCAGCATTTGTGGTACAGTAAGTGGTAGGAAATTAATCTATTCATTGAAGTGAGAATTAAACCAATACTAGCAGTCCTGTCACAGAGAGCAAAAACAACATCAACAATAAGCACTTTGTGTAGTAGAAAATGATTGCAGAATTAGACGCATGTTCATGCTACCCAAGCTTTTAGCAGTGCTACTGATGGTTCTGAGGCTGATGGTATAATTAAGAAGGACTGAAACATGTTATTGATTTTAACATGCTTGACAAACAGATTTGCTTGAAAAATCCCGTGCTATTCGTCAGGCTAAAGATGAGCGAACGTTTCATATCTTTTACTATTTGATTGCTGGAGCTTCTGAACAAATGAAAAGTAAGTGACTTACTATCAATTCTTACCTCTCATTTACCAATGAGCAACGGCTTGCTTAGAATGGCTTAATTTCTTCATCTGCATGTCATATATGTCGAAGTCTCAACTGATGTGGATCTGTTTGCTCTACCTGGTGTACATTTTGTAGAAGAATTTCCAGGGCATGTAAACTCGTTCAAACATTATCTTAAATGATATTGGAAATGAATAGCGAAGAGGTATTCATTATTTATTACACAAAATAATTTGGCATTCCCAATAATTTTTTTGGCTAGCAGTTTTAAAATATACAGCACCTAATTATATTGTGAAGCCCATTGCTTCAGGATGGTGAGAAGGTCTAAAGTATAATCAGGTCCAAAAAGGGTTTAGAACATCAATGTTTCCCTAAATTGCTAGTTGATAGAAAATGTATAAAGGAATGGATAACTCTGTATTTGTCCTGTTTTTCTCTTTTATTTAATGTTCCTTCCCTAAGAATCTGTTGCTGGCCACCGTATGGGTCTGAAGAGTTTTTTGGTCTGATCCATTATGGCTGTTATTTGCTTTTTGTTATCTGATATGAGTCCCTAGGTAAAGAAGACCAAGTAGAAATATGGAATTCTGACTATGTTATATATGGAACTAAATGAAAGACTTACAGAAAAAAGGCTCAGATTTGAGTTCTTAGGGTGCTAGGTTCCACAGAGAGGTGAAGACGCTCCCCAGTCACTACTGAAAGGTGCAAATTCAGGACAATCAAACTTGCCAAATGAAGAGTGAGTCTGAAATACTTGTCCACCACAAAATCCTAAGATCTTCATGCAAGGAGAGACTTCCTTGGGCAAAAACACAGTCTCTTCTACTGTGTTTCTATGTTAGGTGAATTTATTAATTAAGAACATTAAGTTTAAGTTAACGAAGTCAAGCTTTTCTTCTTTGCCTTTTAGATGATCTGTTGCTGGAAAATTTCAACAATTACACCTTTCTATCTAATGGCTATGTGCCTATCCCTGCTCAACAAGATGATGAGATGTTCCAGGAGACCTTGGAAGCCATGAGAATTATGGGCTTTAGTGATGAGGAACAAACAGGTAAGAACTATAAGGTTGTATTTGAGGTATATACCTCTGCAAACAACAATAGATAGGATATAAATGTATAGTGGAGAATTCTGTCCAGGATGTCACTTTGCAAAATATGCACATGAAGTAAGATAGTGCATTCATATAATAGAATTAATATTTAGATTTAACATCCATGTTTCTCTCGAGAAGTGTGATCTTGCATGAAGCAGAAAGTGCAGGTCTCTAAACATACCTAAGTGGTATAACCTTTTTGCTTCTTATTTCCTGTTTTTTTTCTATTACCAGCCAAAACTGTTACCTAGCTATTGTTTCTAAAAAGCTTGTCAATTAGAGTTCCTAGAATTCCCCTCTTCTCCCCTTCCCAGGTGGTATTAGATGAAATAAACAATAGCTATTGCAAGGAAAGAGAGCAGAGGGCCTCTCTCAGCGAAAAAAATCTCAAGTACGGGTATGTTTCTAGCCTGCCTTAAGAATAAAAAGGGAGTACATTCCTGCATGATCAGAATAGACATTGCTCAGAGAGAAGGGACAACATTAAAGGACAACTGAATTTTGTGGTGTACTTTGCTGTCTTCTCTGGACACCTCAGCATGCAGCTTCAGGAATTCTTCTGAGTCTTAAGGTCACTGTTGTTTCTCCCTTGCAAGGAAACCTAATTAGGAGCTAACTGCTTTTAGTCTGTTATTAGAAAAGATCTACTGTTATTAGAAAAGATCTGTTATTAGAAAAGATCTACTCCAAAATTGCTAGTGTGGCCTACCTTTTCCCATTGTTGCAGTGGGTACTGCTGGGAGTAGATGAAAACAACAGCAAAGACTATTTGCAAAACATCTTCAAAGGTTTAAACTGGCAGCACTTGCTGAAAACACTGAAAAAAAACTCAGAAAGACAGAATTACTGTCTTTATTGGAAAAGAAAGATATATTTCATCAGAAAGAACTTATTATCACTGTGAGACAGAACAACTGGTGAAATGCATGGCAGCTCTACACAGTAATTTAACTGTGGATCAAATAAATAATTGCCGCAATATTTTGCTGTCCATTTTGATGAAGAACTGCATGGACTTTTCTTCTTATAAATCTTACAAATTGAGAAGACCTTCTTGTAGAAGGAACATGACACGTGCCCTTGACCAAGCTGCATTCCAACAGTAAAGTGGTGAGCATGCAGAAGTGCTATGAGATGTGGTGTTTTGAAATGTAATCTGTGTCTGTAAAAGGACAGACTTCAGGCATCTCACTAACAGAGCTCCATGCACACCCAGAACAGATTGCTGAATTCGAGCCAGCTCTAACAACACTAATGACCATTTAAAGCCATTTTTTGGAACTTTCCAACAATGACTAGCATGAAAAAAAATATTCTGATTTAATTTTGAAAGAAATGGGTCAGCTCTGAATAGTTAATATTTGTATTCACTCATTCAGAGAAAAGAGAAATAAAAACATGCAGCATAAACAAACTGCCTTGAAAATGTATGCCTGTCACAGCCTTCAACATGTACAGCTCGCTGTCCTGGGAGCGTGCTGGGTTTTAGACACCAGTGTGCAGTGCCCGAGGCTGCAGTGCCCATGTCCCCAGTGACACCTGGTGGCTGAGCAGCAGCAGCCCCTCACTTGGACCTTGGACCAAGGGAGGCAGCAGGGAGCTGAACTTCATCACCTCCATCCCTGCACTAGTAACCAAGGGTGCCAAGAAGGAGCGTCTCGCCCTGCCAGACAGCAGTGCAAACCCCAGCCGTGGTGAAGTCAAGTGACTTTAGGAGGAAGAAGGAAGGAGGAATTAGGAGGAAGACTGGCTTGTCCTCCTGCCCTGGCATATGTATCGGCATTGACTACACCGTTCTCCCTGACTTCGATAGCAGTCTTTGTGTAACTGTCTGAATCCCTTTCATTTTACACTCTAAAATATAAGCCCCGTAAGAGAGTACTTTTATCCCGTGTAAGCTACTAAATTAGCAAAATGAATTAAATTCCTACATTAATACAATCGCATTGGAAACACAATAGATTTTACTACCTGATGTAGCATCACGTTCATACATGTTTTAGTAATCAAATATTAATTAATTGCTTTTCTACACAAAATTTTTGGCGCTAATCCTGTAAAGGCCTGGACACATTTTAGTGGCATGATTGAATGTCCACATTTCTCTGCTACCTGTAATCTTAGAAGTGTCCCCTTTTGAAGTTGCTGCCATTTCAATGATATATTTGATTTTAAAGACAGAGTTGCAGACTGTGACCTGTCCATGTGGGTAAAATGCTCCAGGCCACTGTGCATGGGAGATGAATCAAGAGTCCCCCGAGATCTGAGGGGCTGGCCAAGGTACAAGTACAGCTTAATGTGGCAGCGCACATGCTCCCAGACTGACCTCTTTGCTCCATAACATGGATCATCCAAACTGCTCTTCATTCTGCTCTCCAATTTTTGCAGTTTATATTACAGTCTTTTAAAGAAAATCCAGATCTTTCCATAAAGGTATAGATGACCCCAGTCAGTATATTGAGCCCTCTGTATTGCACAGAATGGAGTTTTCAGAGTGTACACATGCTGTTCCTCATTTATATTATCTATTTATCTTACAGCTATATTGAGAGTTGTTTCATCTGTCCTACAGCTGGGTAATATTGTCTTCAAGAAGGAGAGAAACACTGATCAAGCTTCTATGCCAGACAATACTGGTACGATTAGTCACTTAAATTGATTAACAGTAAGAAGTTAACAAAATATCTGCTGAGTAAACAATATTTATCAATATTTTTATTTTCCTCATGTTTATTTAATGTTCACTTATTTAATATTCCTTACGTGTATTTAATTTCATGTCATTATAGAGATACTTCAATGGCATTAAAAGATATTCTGTACTTAAAAACAACACAATTATCATTACCTTTTCTTGAATCCATTAATTGATGAAATTGATGAACAGTGTATTTGTTGCTGGCAGCATGAATAATATTTTGTGGCAAATTGCACCCTGTGTGTATAAAAAAAGAGCTTTTAAGGAAAATACAATAATTTCACACACTTGTTGAACTGCTTATATTCATGCTTACTTATCTACTAAGAGAAAATTCATCCTGAAATAAAATATCATTGTTTTATTTTAGCTGCACAAAAAGTGTGTCACCTGATGGGGATAAACGTGACGGATTTCACAAGGGCTATTCTAACCCCAAGGATCAAAGTAGGACGAGATGTTGTTCAGAAAGCTCAGACCAAAGAGCAGGTATGTAATCCTCAAAATATTTTTTTTTCTTTTTTTACACCTTGTCTAAAGGGAAATGTCAGTTTTCTGTTTCTGTCTTCATTTTCTACAAATAAATTAGCAGATATTTGAGTTTCTTCTTAACTTACAATAATTTCTTATTTTCACAGGCTGACTTTGCCATAGAGGCTTTGGCCAAGGCAAAATTTGAACGTCTGTTCCGATGGATTCTGACTCGTGTAAACAAAGCTCTAGATAAAACAAAAAGACAAGGTGCTTCCTTCTTGGGGATCCTTGATATTGCTGGATTTGAGATTTTCGAGGTATGGTCTGTGAGGCACACGTTGGCCAAAATTCCTTTTTGTCAATCTGTGGGTTGTTTTACTCTGTGGTAGAGACTGTGGAGAACATAGCTGGCTTAATGCCTTCACTACATCTGGACACTGCAAATCATTGTTCCACCGAGTTTGAAAACCAGTCTTTTGGATGCACAAACCTTTAGTGGACTCCATTTTTTAATTATTTTTTTTAGTGAAGAGATACATGTAATATTACAAATAAATTAAATTCAGAGCTGCAAAAATAATTTGGCTCTTCAGGTTGGCTAGCAGCCCATCTCACAAGAGTGTTAATCTGTCTGCTTGCTTTTCCCATAGAGAAGCAGCCCTGGCAAGAAGAGTGGGGGGTGTCTGCAGTGTCCTATGGTGCCTCTGTGGGGTTCAGTGCTTAGAGCAAGGAACTTCATGGCTTATCAAACAGGTTCCAGTGCAGAGATTCAACAGCTAACAACTTACTGTAAGCTTCCAAGACCTGAAATAAGAAAAATCTGCATCCTTATATTTGAATTACTATGCTCTTTGAAAAGAAATAGAAGATATCTAATTTTACCTTGTCCTTTAAGTTCCTCCTTGCAGGTGTGTTTTTAACGTTAACAATTCAATAATTCTGTCTTCTCTCTTCTCTACAGATCAATTCCTTTGAGCAGCTGTGCATCAATTACACTAATGAGAAACTTCAGCAGCTTTTCAACCACACAATGTTTATATTGGAGCAAGAGGAATACCAGCGTGAGGGCATTGAATGGAATTTCATTGACTTTGGCCTTGACCTGCAACCTTGCATTGAGCTGATTGAAAGACCGGTAAGATTTTACCTCTAGAGGGGGGATAGTACTACTAGGTTTAATCAGGTTCTGTCATGTAACAGTACAGTAAGAGAGTCATTTAAGGTATTTTGGATCCTCTATTGCCTGGGGGCATTAAATCTCATGGAGGAAGATTGTCTCTGCCTGTGATGATCGTGATCTGGTATTGCTCAATTGCAGACGAACCCCCCTGGTGTTCTGGCTCTGCTGGATGAAGAGTGCTGGTTCCCCAAAGCTACTGACACATCTTTCGTGGATAAACTATGTCAAGAACAAGGCAATCACCCCAAATTTCAGAAGACCAAGCAACTTAAGGATAAAACCGAATTCTCTATAATCCACTACGCAGGAAAGGTACTGGGCAGATTGAGCTATTTTGACTTATCAATGTTTATTCTTTGATGCCTAAATGCTGAATAAGCAGCAGTTCAAGTGTTCCAATTAGCATGGAACAGCTTTAATTATATAATGCATATATATTACGTGCTTTAATTGTGTAATACATTGAATAGGATTTACAAAACAGCCATGGTTGTGCTATGCGCACATGAAAATAACAACAAAAAAATATTCAGCACCAGGGCTTTTGAAAATCCATATAATTTGGATTCATTTCTTGTCAAAAAACCCCAAAACTTTAGATTTAAGTACTGTAAGATTCAAACACCCATCAGCTGTCATCTACAGAAAGCTTTTCACATTATTATTATTTTGCCTTATTTTGTGTTAATTTGGTGCCTGGGATCTTACCACTCCAGAGTCCTGCATCGACATCTGCATCAACAGATTTTTAACCTAGTACTGTTTCCTGCAGGTGAACTACAACGCAACAGCCTGGCTAACAAAGAACATGGATCCGCTAAATGACAACGTGACTGCTCAAAAAAATGCTGAACCAATCTTCAGACAAATTTGTGGCAGACCTTTGGAAAGATGGTAGGAAACACAATTCTAAATCAGTAAAGTGGTCTAGAGGAAGAAAATTCTCCTATCAGAAGTGTTCTGACAGCCTCCCCTCACTGTCAAGAAAGATGTATGAAAATGATAAACATGGAAGAGATTGAACTAAAAAGCATAATATCCCATTTTAAATACATATTTAAGGATTCATTGTTGAGTAGTTCTAAGTACTATCAAATATTTTTATCAAATATCAAATATTCTCTAGTATTCAGCAACATAATAAAAATATTCATTGTTATAATATTGATGAAAATGGGATATTGAACTGTTTATCTAATATAGGTTATCACTGCCTTTCATGAATGTGGGCAATCCTTACCTCACATGCTCCTCTCCCAGAAATCTTGCAGAGTTCTTTCCAGTGACATGTAATCTCAGGGAAAACCTATCAGAAGGATGGCTGCATACATACAAAACACTTCTTTAAAAAAAAATCTGGAACCCATTTATATGGATTCCCAATATAGATGGATAGGTATATTTACATTACATATTTACATATAACATGTATAGATATTTAATACATGCACAAAAACAAATAGGAGAAATACCAGCCTCCTTGGAAGCCCCAGGAGGTGGGTTCTGAATTACCAGATACTTGAGGGGAATTATTAGCTAGACTTTGAGAACCATCCACAGATGGGAGTTTTTCTCTTTACTTTAAAATACCTTCTAGTGCTTTTGTTAGCATGCTTCTATGACTACAGTATCTATACGGATACTTGTAAGTATCTGTATCACAAGTCTGAAGGTATCTGTTATCTGAAGTCACATTTTAACAATATGATATTAGATAAAGACAGTTCATTTGAGCAGTTCGATTCA